TTCCATTTTGGATGCTATTCTTATTTTTAAAATGCTTCTGCCTCATTGTATATTCAGTAAATTAAAGACAATTCAAATAAAATATCTTAAAAGAGAAAAAGATCTGAACAGTTTGGATTTTTGAGATGCAAAATCATCAAAACACCAGAAATATCTTTTGTCTCCTCTGTTATTCTTTACTATATGAAGTGACTATATTGAATCCATTGTTAGGTCAGTTGCTAAGGAAGTCAGTTCACTTGTCATACAAGACAGTTTTTCTCTCCAGAAATTATTTTACATATCTATAAGTCTACCATTCATCCATGATTAGAATATTGCTGCCACATATGGTCCGGTGCCCCTGCTATTTACCATGAGCTCCTTGATAAGATCCAAAGAAGAATCTGCAATATTATTAGTCCTCATCTGGTAACTCAGCTTCTGTCACTTTCCCCACCACTGTAAGGTTGCCTCTCTGTGCCTTTTCTATAAATATTTTCATAGTAATTGTTCCAATGAGCTCTTCACTATGGTATTTTTAATTTAAGTGCAGTACTAGACTGGCATTGAGATCTCATCATTTTGCAGTTGAGTTGGCTAGATGTAAATGTTGGCTAGTTGGCTAACAGTTTATTTTCTCGCACTTCTTTGGAACTTGTGGAACTCCCTTCTGGCTTAATGTTTTAATCTTCAAAAATTTAAATGCAATGTCAACTGCTATTTACTATCTTCCTCATTACTCTTTTCTCTTTCCATTCATTATTAATGTTTCTATTCCTAATTCCTTCACATCCTGTAATTAAAAGTGTTCAGATGAACTACATTCCTTAGTTCTACTAGCTCTAACATTCATGGCTAAGACCTGCCATGCTATGCACATTGTAGCGAACCATCCTCATTTCCTTTGTGTTCCATTGATGAAATGTAAGTTCAACTCAGGCAGCAGCTTCCCATGAACTGCTGATTTGTGGAATTGACTCCCAAGAGGATGCTTCTCTGATCACAATTTTAATCTGTTCAAGCCTAGTGTTAATGATTATCTTTCTCACATATCCTCAAAAAATGTACCTTTCACTCTGTAACCCTCTACCTCAAGTGGTTCTTGGGGCTTATACAGGGTGAACATTATTGTAAAAAACAAAAAGAAATCAAAATTTGTTTGCTTTTGTAAGATTCTTTATCAGTGATTATGACTTTGTTCAACTGATCTCCAAAAAATTATAGTTACTGCTGAGGCTACAGGTCATTTTTAAAGTTTTTGACAATAAATGACAATGAAAGCAATTAATTGATTAAGATAAGGAAAGTTTTTTTTTAAGTAACCATGCCCATTGACACTGGCTTCTTCCGGAAAAATCATTTGCCCTACCCTGTGAAAAAGATGTGAACTGATTCCAGTGTGCTAAATCTTACAATATAAACCATTCATCAAACATCTTTCCTGCTTTTGATACTGCATCACTTTTCCATCATATGTATTGGCCAGGAAAAAGAATTATTTTATTGTAAATCATAAAAATGACTTTTTCCAATCTAGGAACCAGTCACTGTGACTGCAAACTTGGTGATCCAGGGTCAAATTCCAACTGAGTTTGTTACATTCACTTTCACACAAATACTTTAAGGAAAGGTAGGAAGCCATCTCTTCTTCCCCCAGCTATGGGTTAAATAGCAGAGCAGACTTAGATCTCTAGTCATAGTTAATGACCAACTTAGGAGGATAACTTGGAATTCAAAACTCAGCTACGAGAAGCAAATATACAAAATGTAAAAAATTTTATCTGTTGAACAAAGAAACATATGGTCAAGTAAGTACCATTCCCCACCTCTCCTTGTGAAAATATATTAATCTAATGTATTTATTCTTAAAATATAAAGCATTCGTTTCAAGACATTTCCAATGTTTGATAGTATTTCACTTTCCGTTGTACATATTGGTCATTTATTTTATTGTAAATCTTCTTCCAATCTAGGAACCAGTCACTGTTAGCCTAAACTGAGTATTAGAATTCTCATAAATGCATTAGCATATAAGACTTTTACTTGTGGCCCCACTGACTTAAAAACCATCACCCCCACCACTATATGAACACATTCTAGCAATGGGCTTGTTTGTAATGTTTATCCAACACAATAAAATATTTGATCTATTTTGCTGATGCACAATATCTGTGTATAAAACAAATGGTGCAGGCTAGTATACTTTGCCTAATGGTAAGACTGTCAAGAAACATCTTTGGTTTTTGTTGCAAAGTTGGCACTTTATTCAAAATGTTTTTTAGGTTAGAGATAGAATGAGGGGTTCACAAATGGATAAGATTTCTTCAATCAAAAAAGAGCCCATTCCATCTGATCAGGTGTAACTGCATAGTGAAACATTTAACAATTTCTTTTTGCTACTCTGGCTATTTTATTTTTTTATTTTTTTATTATATGTTTTTATGGTAACAATAAATACTTGTCCATTATTTAATCATTTATACCAGCAAAATTGTCCAATTGTTAGATTAAGCTTTGAATTGATTGTATCTTAGAAATCATTAAAGATATCTTACTGGAATTTTAGAACAGTATTGGACTCTACTTTGAACAATAAGAATGTATTTAGCTCTAAGTTGAAATGATGATCCCTCTTGCTGATCCAGTTTTACTCTCTACTGTTCCCTCTTTTTTAAATTTATTCATCATTCTCTTGATGGTTCTTGATGTATGGAATCCAGAGTATGAATGTTGGTACCATTACTGAAGGCCTGAATGATCTTTTTCCTCTCACTATTGCTCGTTTAGGGAGACAGTGGGGATGACACAAAATGATTTGAACCTTTTCACTTTTTAGCTGAATCAGTGATTTTTATGACAAATAGTGTCATGGTGGCTAAACTTCTTACCCCAAAATCTGGAAAAAAGAAACTCAATTAATTTAGTGATTTTTTAGATATTAAACATTTTGTGGGATAAACCATTAACCCAGGCTGTTACACGATTTGCACAATTTTGCTGTTACACCCGATATATATAAATATATATATTTATTAAAGACATTTTTATGTTTAACGTTCTTTTTTATAGATACAGGTATTTAAGTAAATGCTCTGTTTATAATAAACAGTATTAAATAACATTTACCGGCCTGAATGTCCGAGAAATTTTCATAGAAAATATTCGTCCTTTGACAGGATTCGAACCTGCATCCTATACGGAACCGTCATTTACGCTGACGTGCCTTACCTTACTTAAATACTTGTATCTATAAAAAAGAACGTTAAACATAAAAATGTCTTTAATAAATAAATTGTCGGACTTTGTCCATTTCTTAATATATATATATATATATATATATATATATATATATATACACGTTTCATTAAAGATGCTGCCTAAATACACACAATATATATATATATATAAATGCTACTCTGATCAAGGAGAAAACCATGTGCTATGACAAAATGTTTAGAGAGTGCCTTCATCATAAGGTTATCCACAGTAAATTTGCACCCTGGCTCTTAAAACATTTCACCATTTCTGGCAGAACTTTTATTATCACAGTGTGGGATAACTACTCACAAAAATGATGAAAAGAAAAAGAAAATTAATCTAAATGAAATCGGCTAGATTTGATAAAAAAAATTCAAAATTTTAAATTTCCAGGTTTCCCTCATTCATGTGTAGTTGCAAAACATAACAAATTCACTCCGATTAAATCCTATGGGATAAAACGTGTCACAAGAAAACGTTTCCCACTTATATAACTTTTTCCACTTCCCATAGATATATTTATGGCAAATATTATTAAATATTAAAGACAACAGATATTTTGTGTTGATTAAGTTTAATGATCAGCTTTTCCAAATTATGGATAATCCTTCTTAGACAAGGAAGAAATTTCGTTAGAAATTATCCAGAGTTCATTTCAAAAGAAAAGTACAGGAAATATGATTTAAGCTTTTGTCTTTCTTAAGTGATCATCAGAGTAGGAAGTGATAACTGGTGAATTTCATAGAACTAGTAAGTATTGTGATGTAGGCAAAGAGATTTGTGACATAAGTCAGGGGTGTGTTTTTTTATTTTTATACAACTCACTTATTTTTAAAATACAAATTGCCTATGTCACAACACCCACTACTTAATTCTCTGGACTCCAGTAAAAAAATCGCTTAGACCAGTTCATCATATATATATATATATATATATATATATATATAGATAGATAGATAGATAGATAGATAGATACCTATTTTTAGGAAATGGATTAAATCTGACATATTGTTATTTTTAATTTATTTTGTTTAAACTAATTATCACTGACTTTTCAAGGGATTAATCCATATATAAAATACATATATATAGCCTTAAACAAAACGAACGTCATACCTAAGGTACCTTTCAGCCAACACTTTTTCAAAGGTATTTGTTGGCAATGTTAAATTCGAATGAATACACAAACATACTTAATAAAGTAAATGAGGAGGTAAATGTAGAACACAACTAAAAGACAAATTTTAATTACACAAAATTAAAATTGAACAAGGTGGGATGAAAATTTCTCCTCACTAAAGACTTTTCATTCTCTTCTACTCCCAGTAACCCTTTGCATCATAGTGGCATTATCACCTTGCTTGGGGTGAAATGATTAAAAACAAAAAAATATAGTAAAGAATTAAATTAAATTTTTACTTATCTTGTCCCTATTAAGTTTTGCAGAGATTACACCCATTTGTCATTCTGGGAACTTGATTGTAAACGTCTTACCATCAAGTTGGTTGGTTATTTTCCTTAGTCACATATCAACTTCTATAGGTTATTTATGCTGAAAATTAGATATTGTGTACTCAATTTTTACAAATTCTTTTAGCTAATAATGGTTTTAGCGATACAAGATATACTAATTACCTGTAGCTTGTGGGGGTGGAAAAGAGGTGGATTTATACCTTTCCTAAGGATACTCGGTCATTTGCACTTGGTTTTCCGATTAACAATTCTGAGCCATTATTCATAACATGACTCAAACATCCAAGCTTACAGCACATGGTTTCCCAAGGAGTCACCCATCTAAGTACTGATCAGGTTTGGGGTTGCTTAACTTCAGTGAACATCCGGGGAACTGGTGTTTCAACGTGATATAGC